CGCCCGTGTGGGCGGCCCACCCGGCGCTGCGGGTCTTGGCCTTGGAGTCGACGAGGCGGCCGCTGATGCCGAAGTCGCAGAGTTTGACCTGACCCCGTTCGTCCAACAAGATGTTGGAGGGTTTGACGTCGCGGTGGATCACCCCGTGCTTCTCCTTCAGGTAGAAGAGGGCCTTCACGATCTGCGGGGAGGGGTGTCAGCGGCGGTGGCCCCCCCTGCCAGGACCCTCACAGTGTCCCCAAGCGTCCCCCCGGGTCCCTTCCCCGCTCACCGCCACCGTCATCTTCCCCAGGATGCGCTCGGGGATGGGACCTTGGATGCGTTTCTTGAGCTTCTCGGCGCAGGTGCCCATCAGCTCCATGGCGATGAAGACGTCGGTCTGAGGAGGAAGAGGAGGAGGTTGATGGCGGGGACGGATCCTGATGACATCGGGGAGGGATCCTGGGGACACTGGGGACACCTCCTGCTGTGGCTGGGGCGATGGGGACAACACGGAGGGAGCGGGAGGGACAGGGGACGGCAATGGCTGGATCCAGGCGCAGGGAGCCCCGTGGCCGGAGAAAGGGCAAGGGGGGGTCTGGCCAATCAGCATGGGGCAAAGGGGAGGCCTGGCCAATCAGCATGGGGCAAAGGGGAGGCCTGGCCAATCAGCATGGGGCAAAGGGGAGGCCTGGCCAATCAGCATGGGGCAAAGGGGAGGCCTGGCCAATCAGCATGGGGCAAGGGGGGACCCTGGCCAATCAGCATGAGGCAAAGGGGAGGCATGGCCAATCAAGAAAGGGCAAGGGGGGGTCTGGCCAATCAGCATGGGGCAAAGGGGAGGCCTGGCCAATCAGCATGGGGCAAAGGGGAGGCCTGGCCAATCAGCATGGGGCAAAGGGGAGGCCTGGCCAATCAGCATGGGGCAAAGGGGAGGCCTGGCCAATCAGCATGGGGCAAGGGGGGACCCTGGCCAATCAGCATGAGGCAAAGGGGAGGCATGGCCAATCAAGAAAGGGCAAGGGGGGGTCTGGCCAATCAGCATGGGGCAAAGGGGAGGCCTGGCCAATCAGCATGGGGCAAAGGGGAGGCCTGGCCAATCAGCATGGGGCAAAGGGGAGGCCTGGCCAATCAGCATGGGGCAAAGGGGAGGCCTGGCCAATCAGCATGGGGCAAAGGGGGACCCTGGCCAATCAGCATGAGGCAAAGGGGAGGCATGGCCAATCAAGAAAGGGCAAGGGGGGGTCTGGCCAATCAGCATGGGGCAAAGGGGAGGCCTGGCCAATCAGCATGGGGCAAAGGGGAGGCCTGGCCAATCAGCATGGGGCAAAGGGGAGGCCTGGCCAATCAGCATGGGGCAAAGGGGAGGCCTGGCCAATCAGCATGGGGCAAAGGGGGACCCTGGCCAATCAGCATGAGGCAAAGGGGAGGCATGGCCAATCAAGAAAGGGCAAGGGGGGGTCTGGCCAATCAGCATGGGGCAAAGGGGAGGCCTGGCCAATCAGCATGGGGCAAAGGGGAGGCCTGGCCAATCAGCATGGGGCAAAGGGGAGGCCTGGCCAATCAGCACGGGGCAAAGGGGAGGCCTGGCCAATCAGCACGGGGCAAAGGGGAGGCCTGGCCAATCAGCATGGGGCAAAGGGGAGGCCTGGCCAATCAGCATGGGGCAAAGGGGAGGCCTGGCCAATCAGCATGGGGCAAAGGGGAGGCCTGGCCAATCAGCATGGGGCAAAGGGGAGGCCTGGCCAATCAGCATGGGGCAAAGGGGAGGCCTGGCCAATCAGCATGGGGCAAGGGGGGACCCTGGCCAATCAGCATGAGGCAAAGGGGAGGCCTGGCCAATCAGCATGAGGCAAAGGGGAGGCCTGGCCAATCAGCATGGGGTAACGGGGGGGAGGGAGGCCTGGCCAATCAGCACACGGGGGCGGAGATGCCTGGGCAATCAGCACGAGGACCCTCTGGCCAATCAGCATAGGGCAGGGGTGTCTGGCCAATCAGCACATGGGGAGCGGGGCACCTGGCCAATCAGGACGTCATGGGGGAGGGAGATGCCTGGCCAATCAGTATGGGGCAGGGCTCCTGGCCAATCAGCACATGCAGGACACACCCACACAACTGGCCAATCAGCACATGGGAGGGGGTGTCTGGCCAGTCAATATGGGGGTACCTGACCAATCAGCATGTTCGGGGGGAAGCCTGGCCAATCAGCACACAGGGGGAATGAGGGGTGTGCCCACGTGGCCAATCAGCAGAGGGAAGGGTCTCCGGGCCAATCAGCACTGGGGGGACATGTCTACTCGGCCAATCAACATCCATGTGCTTCTGGTCACCCAGCCAATCAGCGCAAGGAGATCTCCTCTCTGCCTGGCCAATCAGCATGCGCGGAATCGCAGCTATCCGGCCAATCAGTACACAGGGAATCCTCTCTGCCTGGCCAATCAGCACACATTGCTTCCTTTACACCCAGCCAATCAGTGCACGGGAACCTCCTGCCTGGCCAATCAGCACCCACAACAGTTTAAACCTCTGGCCAATCAGCAGACACAGTCTCCTGCACACCTGGCCAATCAGCACATGCGGTTTCCTAGGCACCTGGCCAATCAGCACAAGCAAGTCTCCTGCCTGCCTGGCCAATCAGCAACCAGGGGTTCCTGCACATCTGGCCAATGAGCACACAACTCTCTTGCCTGACCAGCCAATCAGCACACGTATATCTCCAACCTGCCTGGCCAATCAGCACCCACAGTCTCCAACCTGCCTGGCCAATCAGCACCCGTGATCCTTTGGACGTCTGGCCAATCAGCATCCACGGCTTCCGCACACCTGGCCAATCAACACCAGTAAATCTCCTGCCTGGCCAGCCAATGAGCAGACGTGCTACCCTGAACGGCTGACCAACCAGCACCTGGGGGCTCTTCTATACCCGGCCAATCAGCATAGAACAAATTTCCTGCCTGGCCAATCAGCACACGATTCCCCCGGACCTCTTGGCCAATCAGTGCACGCGATCCCCTGGACCTCTGGCCAATCAGTGCACGTGATTCCACCGGACCTCTGGCCAGTAAGCCAATAAGTGATCCCCCAGACCTCTGGCCAATCAGCACACACGATTCCCCCCGGACTTCTGACCAATCAGCACACACGATTCCCCCTGGACTTCTGACCAATCAGCACACGCAATCCCCCGGACCTCTGGCCAATCGCTGCACGTGATCACCCTGAACCTCTGGCCAATCAGCACATGCGATTCCCCCCGGTCTTCTGGCCAATCAGCACACGCGATCCCCCGGACCTCTGGCCAATCGCTGCACCTGATCACCTTGAACCTTTGGCCAATCAGCGCACGTGATTCTACTGGACCTCTGGCCAATCGGCACACGCGATCCCCTGGACCTCTGGCCAATCACTGCACGTGATCCCCCTGAACCTCTGGCCAATCAGCACGCGTGACACCCCGAACCTCTGGCCAATCAGTGCATGTGATTCCACCAGACCTCTGGCCAATCAGCGCACACGATTCCCCCCAGACTTCCGGCCAATCAGCACGCGATCCCCCTGGACCTCCGCCCAACCAGCACACGCGCTCCCCCCCAACCCCCTCC